TTGCCTATATATGTATAATTGATGTATAATAAAAAAATATTTTCGGAGTGAAATCTCGATGGGAGAGTTCGAATTTCAATCGGAACGTTTCTCGAACTTAAATTTATGATGATTCGTTATGATGATTCGTTATTTTCATATTATGATTATTTTGATAGATGCATCAACGTACGAAAAAAAAGTGTTCCTACATATATATGCATATATAAATTTTTTTATTGATCTCGTAAAACGATAATCGATAATAAATTTTGTCGTCATAAACTTCTGAAAGTTTTGGAAATAAATCAATTTTTGTAAAAAACTGCTTTCACTATTTGTATCACGATTGTATATGCATAAAATTTCTTGAAAATTGTACTTTTTTTGTTTGGCTTTATATTTAATAAAACCTTAGAACGAGCATATTCATTTTTAGGCAAATAAATTAAATTCAAAAAGTTATTTTACTTTGCAAACTCCTACTTCGCTTAATATGTGGCATCAAGAAATTATCTTAACAAAAGAAAAAAGAAAAAAGAAAAAGAAATCAAAAAGAAAAAAGAAAACGCAAAAGGAATCGAGTGACTTTCTTCGAAGTAATATATTAACAAACTCGTTTCACAATAAATTGAAAAATGAAAGGAGACAGTGAAAATCAACTTTTCAACAATGTATGGCGTGAAATTCGAAGAATAAAAGGTGATTAAGTAGAATTTCTGTTTTCTAGGAAGTAAAGAAGACATAATATATCATTGATTTTATATCTTATTTTGAAACGTACTACAAATTTTTCTACAATGTTCTCATACTTACCCATATAAACATATAAATGCATCCCTATGTATATACACGTTCATGAATATATATATATATATATATAAATAAATCTCATATACATATTCATACATGTAATAAAATTTGCATACATTTTTCATCATAATAATTATTTTATATATATATATATAATATTTTTTACCTTATACTATCTCTGTGTTTGTGTGTATATATTATACATCATATGTAATTATACAACATATAAAATAAATAAATATATATATATGTATATATATATATATATAGATATATATATATATATATAGATATATATATATAGATATATATATATATATATAGATATATATATATATAGATATATATATATATAATATATATAATACAGATATGTACATATAATACATGTATATAATACATATCTTATATATATGTATTATATGTATCCGTATATTAATATATATATGTATATATCATACATATATATAATGCATGTAATATATTATATGTATAATATTATTACAATAGAATAAAATATATATATATGTATATATATATATATATATATATATATATATATATATATATATATACATATGTATGTATATAAGAAAGAAAATCGTAAAATAAAGCAAATAATAATAATAGTAATCATAATAATAATTATAATAATAATAATAATAATAGTAATAATAATAATAATAACAATAATGATAATAATAATAACAACAACAATAGTAATCGTGAGAGAAATAGGTGTGGACCAATCACCACTCGTTTCTAGTTCGCCTCCGTTCGAATGAAATTCCTTTGGTAGAGAGTTCACTGTCACGGTCTTACGATCTTTAAGAAAAAGAGGATAAACCATATCGCGTACTGCTCGTTTTCATTTTCGCTCGACTGCCACTACCATCACTAACATTACATAGAGACACTCCCTCTCTATACATACACATACACAGACAAACACAGGCACGCAATATATTCATGCAATTTCCCCTTCTTGTAGATTTTATGAGACATGCTCGGAGATCGTTTTCCCTTTCTCCCGATACTAAATCCGATACATAGAGATCGATTTGCGACTGATGGAGTTAAATTTCTGCTCATCTCCTACTTTTAGACCGATTTTTTTTTTCTTCTTCTTCTATATTAATTTTTATCAAGATCAATTGAGGTCAAGACAATCAAGGACGAATGATCTTTAACCCATTTACGACTAAGTGATTATTTCTAACAAATTTGGTCAATGATCAATAATTATTAGAACATTAGTTAATTTGATAAATGATTAGATAATTTGGTATGATATACGTATGTGTATGTAATAGAGTAATATCAATACATATTGATTGCATGAAGTTGATGCTTCTTACATTTTCTTAATTTTTAATTTTTAAATTTTTTAAATTTCTTTTTTCTTCTTTTTTTATATATTTATTACATATATATATTACGTTACAATACATACATAATTATACATGTAATACATATTTATATATGTAATGGACAAAGTGGTCACTATAAAAAAATTTTCAATATATATTTCTAAATTTCTTTTTTCACATATCATTAAGTATATATCTACAAAAAAATATATATATATATATATGTATATATAATATATGTGCCGTTTATTTTGAAAGTGGCTTAAGTCCAAAAAAAAAATAAATAAATAGACTTAAAAATAAAAATTAAATAAAAAAAAAAATATAAATATAAGTAAAAAATAAATATAAATACAAATGGACTTAGATCACTTTTAAAATAAATAGTTCATATACATATATATATATATATATATAGTAATTAAATATATTCTTGTAATAAACATTCTTCCTGTTTGCTTATCCATTGAATGTTTATTGCATTATAGAGTAATAAAAGAAAATAAATTCTTAGTCTTACATTATTATCGCATCCGGATTGTCCTTTGATAATAACAAACTTGATTTCTAGTTGTCGATATAATCGGACGGTACGCTTTGTTGCACAACGATTTTACGGCTGAATTAATCTAATTACAGTAATACATCAAGCGGTTAATAGGAATACTTTAAAACAATATTTCTCTCTCTCTCTCTCTCTCTCTCTTTCTCTCTCTCTTTCTCTCTCTCTCTCTCTCTTTCTATCTGTCTCTCTTTCTCTCTCTTTCTCTTTCTCTCTCTCTCTCTTTCTCTCTCTCTCTCTTTCTCTCTCTCTCTCTCTTTAAAAAAATATTTTATAAGTAATTATCTTATTAGAGAAACATTAGAATAATTGTTAAAAAAATTATTAATTATTAAATTTGAAATTCATCATAAACGGCGATCAAAAAAAAAATGATTCGATCAATTTATTCATAATTTGAAGAAAATATTCATAGGAAAAAGAAAAGAAAGAAAAAGGAAAAGGTAATTAAGAGAAAACAAAATAAAAGACTATTGGAATAGTAAACGTAGTAGTACATAATACATGTATACATAAGTATATGAAGTATACGTCCTTGAGAGAAACGCGTTATACCTAACTAGAAGCAGTTGCATTATCGTAGAGTACAGTTCATCGACCAGTTACATCTTTCACTTCGGTCGTATCTCCCATCCGATTTTCATAAAAGGCGTAACTAAAAAGTATCCAAGACTAAAGAATATAGATTAGATATCTATTCGCGGAACAATACGATCTGATAATAATTGTTTCGCTCGTTAATCAATGTAAACTTTCAAGTAGGATAAAAACCTGCATGATTACTTTTTTTCATATGCATTTATGATCTTATCTCTCATTCTAATTTGTCTTTCAAATAAAAAAAAAAAAAAATTGGGAAAATATTTTTTTAATGAGTCCTCTTTTGTCCAATTTTAATGACGACAATTAATAAATTTTTCGAAAGAATTTATTGTAATTAATTGGATATACTTAATTTTAAATAATTTTATGTCATAAATATATATATATATTTAATATGACATGTATATATCATATTGAGTTAACCAATAATTAGTATTTTTTATATAAATAAAGAACACTAAAATATATTATACAATAGTATTGTATTGGATCGGATCGGATCTATTACAAAATAATAGTATAGCATTGATTCGAATAATAAAAAATTTTTTTTTTAAATTTTCAATGAAAACTTAATAAATACAATGTTATTTATTTAGATAAAAAATATTAAAAATTCCGACATTACTTTATGGCCAACATAATATATAAATTGTATATATTTTATTTATGTAGCTACGAAAAATCAAACAATTTATTTGCGATATATAAACACATCCATACACACACACACACACACACACAATTTATTTAGGTAGCTTGTACTTTTTCGAAACTTATGAAAATTATTATAACGTAGATAAAAAAAAAAAGAAAAGAAAAGAACAAAAAAAATAAATAAATAGAAATATCAATAAAAATTGATGTATATAGATATATATTATATATCTAAAAATTTTTCTCAAGTAGAGATATTAAAGATCAAAAGACGAGTGAAACTGCGGACGGATCTTCGCATCTGTATCACCAAAGCAGCTCGATCTTGATCTTGGCCGTTCACCTTGCTGTCTACCTTTCATTAAAAAAAAAAAAAAAAAAAAAAAAGAAAAAAGGAAAAAAAAAAGAAGAAAAGAGACGAGAGAAGTTAGAGCAGTGGAAGGAGGAAGAGGAGTACGGGAAGGAGAAAGAGGGTGAAGAGGAGGAGAAAAAGGAGAAGGAGGAGGAGATGATGGAGAAGGAGTCGGTGTAGGAGGAAGTGGTGGAGGATGAAGTGGTGGAAGAGGAGAAAGAGAAGGAGAAGGAATGAGAGAAGGTGGAGGGAATGAAAAGGATGCAGGAATTATGGACGTTAAAATTTTAAACTTAAATACGTAAAGAAGAAGGAAAGAGGGAGGAAATAGAGTGAAGTAGTGAGAGAGATAGACTTTTCCTCCGGTACTTTGCTACGGCTCGACGATTAGTCGCCTCCTTTCACGAGCACCTCGGGTGCAAAAGACTCCCTTTCATTCTTATCCGACTTCTATCAACGTACGTGTATAAAAGCAGCGCACTTATAGAATGCAATCGACAGATCAAAAGCGCATTCGTAGTTACCGAGAGCTGGTGTATCTCGGAAGGACTTATTATAAGCTTCGGTCCTTTCGTAATTTATTTTTCCTATTTTTTTTTTCTTTTTATTACCTTCCCTATATTTTACAGGAAGTTTCCATAGGGAAGTGATCGAAAAAGATAGGATGATGTTGGGTGTCACGGTAAGTCGATAAGATTAGATTTTTTATTTGGATCAAGTACCACTATAATATACTTAAGTTCAAAAATAGATACAATTGTAAATACGCAAATTCAAATTTCTTCTTCGAATTCTTTCCTTTATTTTTTATATTTCTGTCTCTCTCTCTTTCTCTCACTCTCTCTCTCTCTCTCCCTCTCTCTCTCTCTCTCTCTCTCTCTCTCTCTCTCTCTCTCTCTCTCTCTCTCTCTCTCTCTCTCTCTCTCTCTCTCTCTCTCTCTCTCTCTCTCTCTCTCTCTCTCTTCAACGCAGTGTTTCAAATATTTTTCATTTGTGATCATTTTTCTTTTTTTCTTTTTTTCTTTTTTTTTGGTTGAACCAAATAATATTCAAGTAAAAGAAATGAACGACATTGAACGCCAAAATTTGAGTTACTCCTTTCAGATTTTAACATAATATCGTAAATATTTTGTCATCTAAGATCATTTTTGATTGGACCAAGTAGTAAGTAAAAAACATGGACGACACTGTCCTATGTAATCAATGTAAATTCAAAATTTTTTTTTCTTAATTATACAACATAATGTACGAAATATTTCTTGCTTGAGAGATCATTTTCGATTGTACCGTGTAATGTATAAATAAAAAAAGAAAAAAATTTATACCATTATCCCATCATCCACGTAACGTGAAACTTTTCCTTCGAAACGATAATAAAATATTGTAAATATTTGTTACTTTTTCTCCTCATTTGTTCGCAGCTGATCTTGTTACTTATCACTTCGCTATTGAACTTAAGTGAGGCTGGACATGGAGGAAAGCAGTAAGTCCTTTTTTTTAGTACGATTATTCTATGTGAAATAAGTTCAGTCACAAGAGATTAGAATGTTCGAGTGAACGTTTGCTAAGAAAAAAAAAAAAGAAAAAAAATTGATCGAGAGTAACGATGTCTCCTATTGTGCTCAATGTCAGTTATATATATACATATATACTTATATATATATACATATATACTTTTACAATTAGTTATATATATATATATATATATATATATATATATATATATATATATATATATATATATATATAACTAATTGTAAAAGTGGGATCGATCGAGCGTGTCCTTTCTCACGATTTCGATCTTGTCTCGTAAATCGTTCAACGCTCGGACTTTCGCCGATTTTCATTGCAAAGGAGTAATGTCCATTTCAAGTTGCCAGAGTAAATATTTTACGGGAGAAAACGTTAGAAGAAAACGAACTCATAGATTTTTCTTTTTTCTTTTTCTTTTTTATCGAGTCCTATACAAACCTGAAATAGTTCTTCTTGTAAATCAGTTTATTATAAAAAATTTAATCGGTTTAATAATGTTCCAGTCAACATGTGGTGATCCATGTACCATATAAAATCAAACACATATACCACACCCATACAATAACAAAACATATACATCACGGAGGTGGAGGAGGTGACAAATACGAAGTTTTGGGCTATACGGTCGGTCATCCGATCGATTTGGGAGGTCATGGAGGTGGTGGAGGTGGTGGACATGATTTCGGTGGTGGCGATTATGGAGGTGGTCACATTGAAGTTGGAGGCGGCGGCTATGGAGGCGGAGGAGGACATGGTGGATGGGAAGAAAGCGGAGGTGGCTACGATCTAGGTGGTGGAGGCGGTGGTTATGGTGGGGGTGGTGGTGACTGGGGTGGTCACTGAACAAAATTTTCACAAAATTCTCGAGCAAAATCTTAAATTGTGACGGCCAAACAACAGTGATTATCCCTTCCCTCGCACTTATCCGTCCATCTTTTTTTTACCTCTCACGTGTCCTAGTCTCTATCCATATTTTATTATTTTATTACCATCTATTTACCAATTGTATATATATACATATATATTATATAGTTACCTATTTTATATTTCGTCGTTTTTATAATATTTAATACGTTCGTATTATTTTTCTATATGTCCGTTTTTCTTCTATCTCTGTTTCGTATTTTTTTGTTTTGTTATTATTGTTTCTTTTTTTCCTTCTTTATAGTTAATCTTATTATGACAAATAAATTGTGTACCTTTTTGTTTTGTACCTATGGAAACTTTCAATGAATTTATACTTGGATGAAAAACAAGAAGGATCGTAAGGAAAGAGAATTGTTATTACGAAAGAAATGATTTTTCTTAAAAATGAATATTTTACATGGCGGACACACAGGAACACATATACCATTGTGTTTTTGTCATACATACATATTATACATAGAGATATATAAAAACAATAATGTGTTTTAAGTCTCAAGGTTCTCTCGTTGTTCATTTCTAACAAAATATCTCCTTTAGAATTAATTCTTGAAAAGTATTTTGTTAAAAATATTTTATTTTAGCTTGCTTCCTTCGTTAGAATGATCGTGTTCCACGTTTTCCTCGGTGACGAAGTAACGTCCTGCATTTGTTTTGACGACTTCTTCATCCTCTTCCACATCCTCAACCTTTGATTTCTCTCGTTCATTTTCCTCCTCCAATTCAGTATCAAAATGAAATTTATTTAATTCGTTAGCATAAATAGCTCCGCTTTCCGATCGTAAACCTTTTCGATATCCTTCCTCATAACCGTGCGTTGGTTTTTCTTCATGGTTATCATGGGTCTCCAGAACTTCCAAATTCTGTGAATATTGCGGTGGATAAGAGTAACCAATCAAACCGTTCGTGTGATCCCTCGTAGAAATATTTTCATCGTAAGATTCTCGTTTAGGAAAGTAAGAGTCCGTTTGAATTGGATTTTGTTGAAAATCGTTTTGATAACCTTCCTTAAGTATTTCTTCCTGTTTAACTTTGTGACTAACATCACGATGATTATGACCGTGATCGTCATGGTGAAAGTGACTAGTCCAATATTTCCACTCATGGTGCGCATCCTTATGATCTTCTTCCTCGTGAAACGATGGTTTTTTCTTCTTTGGTACTTCCTTTTTCTGTGGCACGTACTTTTTATGAGGCATCAATTTATGTATGAATATCGTTTTTGTATGAATGTGATGCTTGATAATCTCTGGCACGTGTATCTTGAAATGTATACTGAATGGAAAATCAAAAGAAAAATGAAAATAAAATTTTTACAAAAAAATAAACAAAATTGTAAATTTGTAAAACAATCGATCCTGTGATCTAATAGAGTCTAAATAATCTCTAGATAAAAATTTGGACGAAACATTTAAATCTTAAATATATGGATTTATATTTATATTTACGTAATCTCTGGAGAGATCATTATTTTCACGTAAACTTATAAAACAATTGTCTTGCTGTTTAATAAAGTCTAGACATTCTCTAAATAGAAATTTTAAAGAAAATTAAGTCTGAAGTATAAATATAAATAAATAAATTCATACATACATACATATACACATAAATATATACAATTAATTATAAGTCTCTCAGAGAGATGATTATTTTCACTTTGACTATAAGAAAGCGTAAAAAAGCATATATTGACAATGGAACCATGTATTAAGAAGAATCGTTCTTAATAATTTACAATAAAACGTTATAAATATTGATTTTAAATACTCACTGTTCCTTTTCTCCGTTACCCAGGAAAATTTCATTCAACAAAACAAAAAGCAAATAAGTCAATTTCATCCTTATATTTATATCTCGAATAATACAACTCAAAGTGGTATAATAATTAAGAACAGATAAGGGGAATCGATCGCAGATCTTAACACGATTTTCGAAATGAATCTGAATCGTCGACGGTGAAATTCGTCGCTTATATGCCCGATCATCATTTCGCCGTTCGATTGTTTTATTTCTTTATAAGTATTTACGCTTCATCGAATCTTTTTATCCCAAACAATATAATATTTTTACGCACGATGAAACAAAATCCGACAACAAACCGCGCCAATGAAATTATTCACGTTCGTCGAAGAGAGTTTATTATTCTTTGCAAAACAAAAACAAAAAAAAAAAAGAAAAAATTGAGAGTTATTGATCTTTACGTTTTCATTTTACACGACTTTTTTTTATTAAACTTCCGTTTACGAAGTTACTATATATTTACTATGTAGATGAAGTGAAAAGAGAAGTATTATATTTATTTATCTTTTTTTTATTTTATTTTGTATATTTTTTCTTTCTTCATCGAATTCAATTCCTTCTTATTGCAATTTCTTTATTATTTTAATATCACAAAATGATAATAATGTTGAACATCAGATTTATTTCCATAAAGTAACGAACACGTTTAGATATTTTCTATTCTTTTCTTTCTTTTTTTTTTATAGATGAAATAAATAGCAACACTATTATTTTTCTTATTGGATCTTTTCTTTTTTTTCTTCTTCTTTTTATTTTTTATTGTAATTCCGTTACATTTTAATATCACATAATGTTTAGGTAGTTTTTGATTTAAACGAAATAAAAAAATTTTTTTTCTTTTTTATTACGATTATATTATATTTAAATATCACACAACAATAACAACGAAGTTTGTTACAAAAAATACAATTTGTTACAAACGAAGTTTACTTAGATAATATAACGAGTACATTTGGCGTTGATATATTATTAAAATAAAAATTTGTACTATTTAATAACCATTCTTTGGGTTCTCTTCGTAGACACATTTCTACAATGATAATTCATCTTCGAAAAAAATCATAATTCTCATGCTCGTGGCTATGATCGTATTCATGGCTATGATCGTGGTCGTGGTCGTCTTTTTCATCGCGATGTGATATTATTTTATATATCGTGTGAGTATGCTTCACGTTTTTCACTTTGTAAGGTATATGTATGACTACCTTTTTTCTACGAACATAACAATAGTAAAAATAAGAATAACAATAAATAATATGATATAAATGTAAAGTATAAAAAATAAAATTTTATTTAAATACTTACGAAGAGTACGATGGTGATATCAAAACGAAAAATATAAAGAGAAAAATCAAAGTCTGTAATAAATGAAAGAAAAATAATGTTATCATTTAAATTATATATATTAAATTTATATTAATATAAATATAATATGATATATATATCTTCTATGTACCAAAAAGTTGCAATTCATTGTTGATATGAGAAGTAATAAAGTAAAGATTGCTCTGTGAAGATCCGTGACTATTATCTAAAGAAACTCTGAGAGAAACACAATTCCGTTGGCGTTTATATACTACACACGATAATTACCGAAGCGAATCGGTGTACTTAATAAATACTTTCAGAATCTCCAACCAAAGATCAGTTAAAATGTTATTGATTTTAAAAAGTAAACAATGTGATATTTGTTTAAAAATTCTTAATAATATTTTTTATTGTCGTCGACATTATAATATAAAGAAGAAGAAGAAGAAGAAGAAGAAGAAGAAGAATAAAAAAAATTATATGTAAACCAAGTATTTCAATAAGTTATAAATATCAAGATTTAAAAAACTTGATCTCTCTATCAACCATATTACACGAGTTTCTTGATGCACGCATCATGTAATCGATTGAGAAACTTTCAACCACAAATTCAAATAATATCTCACAATATCGAATATCAAAGAAAAGGTGGGGGAGGATTGATTAAGGTGAAAATATCCAAAGGAATAGAAAGCTGAGGAAGAAATTCCACTACAATCGCATGTTCATTATGGAGTAAGTACTTACATACCAACATACAAAACGGTTCGGCGAAACGGAAAGATATCTCGAGTTTAGCAAAAAATAAAAGAAGAAAGAAAGAAAGAATTTAAGGTAGCGAACCGAGTCGACTGATCATGATCATAATTGGCCATTTCGTTAATTTCATGGTCACGTTATTGTACCCCAACTGAAATACTGTTTACAATAGCTACATCGATACTAACGATAACGAATTTTACGATGTAAATATTCTTTTTCTAAAAATATTATACTTCCTTGTTCATTTTTTTTTTTCGATACAAGTATATTTCTCAATAACAAATATATTTGCGTGTGTGTGTGTGTGTGTATTCTTTTTATTATTGTATCATATCATATCATTTAATATAATTAATTCAACTAAAAATTATAATTAATATAAAATCGTTTATATCGAAAACTGATATTACAAAATTACGAAGAATTTTATTCATCTTGTAAATTTGGACAAACGTCATATAAGAAATGTCAAATTTAAAATTCGTATAAAATTCGCGCAATTTTATAGATCGATAAAAATGTATCGATATATCGTTACACTATCGATTCATTTAACATATCGATATTTTCATTCCACAGTCATATCTAATTGAATCTTTGTAATTCATGTTCTTATTTCATTTGTATGATACCATACATAAAGAGCTTTGAATAGCGTTGAGTTTGTCAAGTGACAACGAGCCACGTCGTAATAGATATCATTTTAAAAATGGTAAATTTTATATAAATTCTTCTCATAAAACATATTTATTTCATTTTGATTAATATTCCTTCTCGATTTTATCGTTTTAGGTTATTTTTATTTTTCCTTCTTTATGAAAAATAAACGATACTTTGTTATGTCTTGTATTAATCATATAATTATATTTATTTAGATGGAAATTGAATCTATGACAAGATATGTCTCGCCGGTAAATCCAGCTGTTTTTTCACTGCTTGCGATAGTATTACTTGGAATTGGAATATTTTTCACAGCATGGTTCTTCGTATACGAAGTTACCAGCACCAAATTCACAAGAGATATATTCAAAGAATTATTAATCTCTTTA